TAAGTGCCTCATTTTCAAATTTTGCTTTCTGGATCAAAACTACTAGAATTTCGTCACTCAAGCTGTTATGACTGAACCGAATTTTCAATTCTCGATCCAACGACGATAGAAAGGAATTCTGTCGCTCAAATGGTTCTTGAGAAACTTCGGAAAACGCAGCGTCAAGTTTGACTGAATTTTGCGGCTCAAATAAACCCTGCAAATCTAAAACTTCGTCAAATGATGACTTTTTTTAGAACACTGCCAAGATTTCAATATTGATGGTTCATTTTCTAAAACGGCCAATGAGCGTTCTTGTTTATTTTGCTTTCTAAAAGCGAGCAAAAACGGGACGGAAAACCTGAAATTTTGGTATAATCTTGCACCTAAATGGTCTGATATTCAAATCTGGCTTTCTGGGTCAAAATTATTCGAATTTTCGAATTCAAAATAAACTTGTTCAATCAAAAAATTAATGTGAATGAATTTAAAAAAGAATATTTCTGATTAATATCAAACATCTATTTGCAAATAACGATATTTGCATTAATTGCAGATAAACGAAATGGAGTAATTATAATTTAAACTTTTAAATAATTAAAAAATAAAGACATATGCAGTTTGTTAAAAAATCCAGGACACATGAATATGTGGACGTAAGTTGGAACCATATGGAAAACTTTTTGTCCATTCCAGTTCCAAAGTTTCTAAAATGTATTTTTCATTGAAAAAGTCCAGTTACAATGAGACCGCGCTGTTGAGGGCTCGGAAACAGATAGAACCCAGATCGAAAAAACGCCTTTTCTACCATTTGCTGGGAATAATTGTCATCTACTTGGTTTGAAAGTTTAACTTTAATCCCACTGGCGTTTGGGGGTTTAACTTCCACTTGAGTTTCTCCTTTGCTGAGGTCTATCAAACATGTATTCTAAACGTCCTCTACCAAAAGCAAAAATGTATCCCCACAAAAACTTGACAAAGCAAATTCAGCTTTACGCTCTCAAACATTGTAGGAAAAAACCACTCGCCAAAAAACTCTGTACTTTGACCAATTGCAACAATTTTCCAAAAAGCTTGGGATAGACTATAACATAATTTCCTTGTATTCCAGGTGGCCGGTCCTAGCAGGCAGCTATTGATAACGGGCAAACCAGAATACTTAGGCCAACTGCTAGCTTCACTTGCTGTTTCTCTGGGCCCTCTAGCTTCTGGTCTAGGGAAAGGCTACAGTTCGCCAGCCATTGCTTCCCTGCTACAACGAGATGCAAAGGCCTTTGATCTAAATGGCCAACAGGCTTCCTGGTTGGCCTCTTTGAGTCTCCTGGGGGCCCTCTTCGGAGCCCCCCTGGGGGGCGTAGCTGTCAAATGGGGCAGGAAGCGAGCTCTCCTGATGGCTGGAGCTCCATTGTCACTATGCTGGATTCTGACCGGGTTTGCGTTCAGCGTCGAGGTGCGATTGCCACTTGTTCTTAGCTGCCGGTTTTTTACTCAGTTTATGCAATTTTAGATAATGTGCTTTGCAGCCTTCACTAGCGGGTTTCTCGTCGCCATCGTCCAACTGGCTGCTCAAATGTATGTAAGTGAAATTGCAGCTCCTTCCATTAGAGGAGGGCTGAGCGCCCTGCTGAAAATATCAGGCCATGCGGGCTCCCTAGTTGCGTTCGCTGCTGGGGCTTTTCTGGATTGGCGGCAACTCGCAGGGCTGATTTCCTTTGCTCCAGCTGCCATGTGTCTGGCAATGCTGCGGATTCCTGAAAGTCCTGGCTGGCTGGTCCTTAAAGGCTATGACTCGGAGGCTGAAAAGGCCTTGAGGTGGCTGCGAGGTGATAGCGCGGACCTGCAGTTAGAACTTTCTATCCTACAAACTCACATCATGAGCAAGCGCATTTCCAGCAGTCCGAAGTTGCTCTTGCAAACGTTGAGAACCCCAGCTTTAATCAGCTGCGGTTTGATGTTCTTTCAGCGCTTCTCTGGGGCTCACGCCTTCCACTTCTATGTAGTGAGTGTTTTTAAGGAGACCTTTGGCGGAACGAATCCTCACACTGCTGCTGTTGCTGTCGCTGTTGTTCAGCTACTGTCCGCGCTTCTTTCGGGGCTGTTGGTCGACAGCGCCGGCAGGCTGCCCTTATTGGTAGCCTCCAGCGTGCTTATGTCTTTGGCTCTCGCTTCGTTCGGTTCTTTTGCCTACTACAAAGAAGCCAACCCCAAATCGGTAACCAATCTGGACTGGATTCCATTGCTCTGTGTCCTAGTTTTCACAGTCGCCTTCTCCTTAGGGATAAGTCCAATTTCCTGGCTGTTGGTCAGCGAATTGTTTTCGCTCGAACATCGCGGCTTGGGAACAGCTCTGGCTACCGGATTCAGTTACTTGTGCGCCTTTGTAGGAGTGAAGACGTTTGTAGATTTTCGTGAATGGCTCGGTCTGTATGGAGCCTTTTGGCTCTATGCCTTTATATCAGTATGCGGTCTCTGTTTCGTGGTTTGTTGCGTCCCAGAAACCAAAGGCCGAGATCTGACCGAAATTGACACGGTCAGCTGACCCAATCCAAGGAGACAACTGCGCAAAGTATCCGTTAACGTGGTTGAACGGTACTGCTAGGACAGTTGTTTCCAAACATTTACAATTTATTAGCATTGACAATAATAAAGGCAGTTGATTCTGCGGTTGGAAAAATTGTTCCAAACACACAGCTCAAAAAGGCCGAATCAATTAATACGATTTCCATTGACAATAATGCGTTCAATAATGTTAGCTGAGTTGTAGCTAAGTTTTACTCCATCGTTACTCTTGTATTACTCCAACGGAGTTAACGGGCAACACTTTTCATCGAACTTGAAACTATGAGCGGTAGAGATAATTTTCAAAATAGGATGGTTCAAAAATGTGCAAGTCCTTGCTTATACAGAGTGAGGCGTAGAGGAAAATTGTATTTTCCTATTTTTTCCAGTTTTTAACGAAATCAAAACTTTCAAAATCAAAAATGACTTTATCTGAAAACTAGTAGTTTCCTAGTTAATAGTTTTGTGATAGAAATCCGATAAATTGGGCAAAATTGGGGAGAACGTGAAAGTTTGATCACTTCTGCGATCAAACGCTAAGCAAGTGTCCTGACTTCTAGAATATGATGGAAATTTTGAAATGCTTCCCATGAAACAGGGTGATTTTCTTTGAATGTTTTGCAGATGAATCTCTGAAACTACAACGGAGACGAAACGATGAAAATTGGCCTCCACAAACAGTTTTGAGTAATGGATCTGCACAATACTTTTACTCTCTTTCAGACAATTTATTCTGATTTCCATTTACACTTTCCCGGGCTTGAAGTTGCTTGACTGAATTCAGCTGCCTACAAAATGTTGTTTTTAGTTCAGTTCTTTGCCTGTTTGCACTGCCTTACATCTATTTTCACGTTTTATGAAGAGATATATACAAAAATCTTATCGAATATTGCCGATAAGCATCGTGACGCGACTATATCGCTTATGAAATTCAGCGTTTACTTCAGCTAGATACAAAATGCCTTTTCAATTCTTTTCCAGAGATGAAAATCAATATCTTCAATTTCAATGAAAAGAATTGATTTTTACCTGTGGTGACTAATGGAAAATGCATTTTGTCGCCACCTGAAGTAAAGACTGCTCTCCCTAAACGCCTCAACTTGCCTCATATTACTTTTATTCAGTTGGCGACAAAACACATTTTCATTTTTTTTTTACCTCTCTCCGTATATATTTTCATCATCACTTTATCCCTAGCAAGCGATAGAAAAGGCGTTTTCCCGATTGCGCCTGTTTCCGAGCCGTCAACAGGGTGCCTTAATTGCAAGAAAAGTTTTTCAATCAAAAATATCTTTTAGAAAAAAGTTTCAATTTAGAATTTTTTAACACACTGTATATGCGCTCGGCTGCAAAAAACTAATTTAAATTCAGTTTTTCAGTAGAGATACTGACTTTATTCTCTGTTCAGCAAAAGAGAGGTGTGTAGGACTAAACCTTATTAATATTAATAAAACGACAATCATGTGCTTAAAAATTGAGAAGGATAAATTATATTTAATTCATTTCGTTTATCTGCAATTAATAAAAATATCGTTATATGCAAATGAATGTTTGATATTAATAGGAAATATCCGTTTTTAAATTGTATTAAAATTAAGTTGTTGTTGATTGAACTAGTTTATTTTGAATTCGGAAATTTGAGTGGTTTTGACTCAGAAAGCGAATGTTTTCCATCCCATTTTTGCTCATTTCTCTAACGTAAAATGACCGAGAACATTGTTACGTCATTCTAGAGAGAACTAAATTGCCTTTTTAGAAAGTGAACCATCGATAAGAAAATGCTGTTTTTCGTTTTTATTTTTCACAGTTTTCTTAAAAACGTCTTGTTGTCAAGAAGTTCTGGATTCGCGTGTTATTTTTTTGAGTTGCAAAATCGACTCAAACATGACGCTGATTTTTCAGGAATTTCTCAATAACCATTTGAGCCACAGAATTCGTTTTGGCATCGTTGGATAGAGAAATAATCAAATATTTGGTACAGGACTAAACGTACAAAAATCATCAAAAACTAAAAAATTATACTATGCTAAGGATCATAACTACAACTGCAGAATATTTTCGAAAGTTCAAAAAATGTCCAGAAATTAATTATAAAGTAAAATGGCACGTTAAATTTACTTTCCTATATTTTATTGATTTAACAGAGCATAGGAAAATATCGAATTTACACAAAAAGTCAGGATTGAGAAAATAACCGGATTTTCTACTTAAAAGGCGTGTTCGTATGAACTAAAGGCGTTTCTGAGACTAAAGATTTCTCATCTTGAATGAATTCACTATACGTTTGCTAATATATTCCGGGGCGCTAAACTGTTTATATGATAATAAGTAAAAACATAAAATAACAAGAAATGTTACCAGAAGAGAATTTAAGAAAATTGACTAGTCAGTTCAAGTGACTTTCCAACAACAACTCCCAAGTAACTTTCCCCGATATATTGTAAAATATTAAAGCAAACTGAAATATTTTTGAACCATCGTGTTATTAGTTGAGTTAGGTAACAGCTCAAACGCTTAAATTTCCACATTTCTTGATCTGGCTGAAAATATTTTCACTGTTATGAATGGTGCTTTGATCATACCACATAATATTGTTAACATTCTCAACAGCTACCAGGGAATGACTAAATGTAGACTGTCTAGATTACCTCAAAAGCTTAGTACTTAGGCGCTACCTAGTGATATATATATAGACACTCGTCGCTTGCTCAACTTAGGCTATAAATGTACCGTAACTGATTTCCTACTTAGATGTTCTAATGTTATGTCAATTATGTGCAAGATAGCCCAGAAAAATGTTAATTTAACTGTATAAGTTGGATTTCAGCATTATTTGGATACTTTCATTGCGTTAGATTTAGAGTATTGAGAACGCGTTTGGGTCAATTTGCTATTTTAGATGATGTTCCATATCGTAGCATATGTTTTGGTAGATGCAAACAAAAGAGCTGCAGAAAGGAACAGGATATTTAGATGGCGCAAAATAGTGTACAAAGTGTTCAAGTCGATATTATTTCATGAAACGTTAGCAATACAGCCAGCACTATTTTAACTTAGAACCGGCTAATTTTACAAGCGCATCCAATCAAGAAAGCGTCAGGAAATGGACAATCGGATTTTGAAATAAAGTTTTTACAATTGAATAACTCAATGTTTAGGTACCAGTGGATTTCTCTATAGCAAACATAAATGTATAGTTTTTTATTTTTTCAAATACAGATCACCATTTTCAAAAATTTTGTTTGCTTTTTTACTGTTAAAACAGTATTATTTTAATTGAGAATAGTTGATTTTCAAGGCACACATAAACATAAAATAAATATAGAGTATATTAAACCAGAAATTTCAAATGTATTTAGGCTTCAGTCAACTTTAATAAAAATTAATATATTTACATTCGCTTGGTGATTTAAAATGAAACTTAGTGTTAAAATTATACTTCCAGTACAAAAACATTAATGCAGAAATGTTCTACTGTTCTAAAAGCATTTACAACTTGTGTTTATCTCAACTGTCTTCTTTCCAATCAGATAACTGCTAATTAGTAGATAAATACTAATTGAATGAAAAATTAAAATCTTATTAATAATTTTATAACAGTTTATCATATTCCATGGTTAATGATTTTGAATTTATTTCATTCATGGTTAAACATTATTCGTGATTATATTCTGAAAGATAACGACGATGGATAAAACTATTTAAAAAAGGTGTTTAGAATTGAAAATATTAAAAAAATGATTAGTTTTTTGAAGAAAATTCTAATTAAAAATATAATTTTAGCGACAAATTAAAAATAACCAACCTTGAATAAAAAGACGGTCCCTGCAGTTGTTGTAGACTTGCGAATGTCTAACAATAAAAATCAAAACCGTATTTTGCCAAAAATCTCTAGAATTAGCACTGATGGTCTTTAGTCCTTGAATAGTCTTTGTTCCAGAATCTGTATTTTTTATTTCAAATTATTATCCTCAGTTTTTTCAACATTTTCTAAGTATCGTTAGTTTTAATGCAAAATTATGTGCAACAGAAACTAAGGAAAATATGATTTCCAATATAAAAAATTAGATTAATGAGCCAAAATATAACAATAGTTTTTCGAAATATCTGTTTTTATAGGATCCGAACGGAAAAAATTAAAATATGCAGATTGTTGCCAAAAAGCAACTCTAGTCGAACTCCACATGGTTTCAGTCAAATGAACTCAAACGCTTTGTATATTGTATATACATATGTATATGGCTTTTTTAACAATAATCTCTTCGCTAATTCATTATTTGCATATTATTTTGCGCCTATCTGAAAAATCTGAACAGCTCGTTGTTTTTTGCCAAACTTTCATTAATTTATGAGATTATGAACTGTGATAGACTAGCACAATACATATTAGAAGTCTTCAAAAATACTTATGACAGAAATATACATATAATAAATTATATAAAAAAATGGTATACATATAGTGTTATATGCTAAGTGGGGTGGGTTTTATTCACTTGTGTTGGTGCCCACCAGGATCGAAAAGAATATGGTTAAAAGTTAATCACTTTATGAACTAATCAATCAATATCATTAAAAAAATGTGAAATTACAAAAATGACAGTGCGGTCCATTACAACACAATCCCATGCTTTGGAGAGTTTATATCGTTCTTAGAGTTAAGATGTATTTACGACGAAAAACTCACTTAAGCTATAACTTCAAGGCGATAGTAAAAAGTTCCAACCTTTTGAAAAAATGGAGGATTTTTAATTGGAATTATTCCAGAATGAGCTTTTAAAAATAGCATAAGCCAATTTAAAAAAAATGGGTTTCCACTCAAACTGTTTTAAATTAAAAGGCACCAACAGTTAAAATCATGTATTAAACTCTTAATTGTAATAAAACTTGTTTTTTTTAGTAAAAGAAGGAAATATGTAAAACTCATAAAATAATCTAGTGTAATTTTTAACACTCAATTGAATTACCTCAAAATTATTCAATAAATTTCAAAATTAAAAATTATGAACTTACATAAAAAAAGTGTTAGTAAATTAAGGCATCGGCCATCAACTTTGGATAATTTATTTGAATCAGATTAAAAATTCAGATACATTATTACGGTCATCTAGGCATTGAAATTATAGCTTCCATCTGAAATTAAACCTATTCACTCCCTTTAAAATTTACATATCTTCACTAAGAATAAAGGCAGTTAATGTGAGAATGTTATTGTTAGAACCAGGTGTTGCTGACAAACCTAATAAAATTAACTGACATTGTTTCGATTTTCCATTAATCAAATCGAGGAAATTTGACAATAAATTTCAGCAATTTCTCGTGGTTCAATGACATTCAATCTCTTTATAGCCTTTAACTAAAGCAGAACAACATTCCGGCCTAGTTATAGCTTTTAAATATTCCAGGAAACCAGGAGGACTATTAATATACTCGTATTTTATAGCGTGCTTTAAAACACAAAGCTTTAACTGTAAAAATTACTTTGCGGAAAACGATAACGTTTAGTAATTAAAAACGTTCTCAAATTTAACGTTTCAAATCTAATAGCGGTTTTGAGAGTATTAAGCCAGAAAGTTCATGTTTATTTTAACAACCAGTAGCGTGGCAAGGATGAATGTTTAAATTAATGCACAAAAAGTCTATCCACTGGTCAATAATATATTTTTAAGTTATATGTTGGCTTAAAATGTTTGCTAGATTTGCTTCAAGCTTTTGTCATTTTTGCTTCGTAAACTAATAAATTGACAAATTTAATATTTAGACTTTCGACGGTCTAAGAAATATATTTGCTCCAATGCAAGTGAATTAGTTAATTGCCCAAACCGGAGAGCACATTAAAAGTTTTTCACTGCTTCTTAGTTCCTTCGGAATCCAATTTTCATTGTCAAGAGTTGGACTGTAATTCCTTGAGAAATTCATAGGATTTTGGCATATTCATGGATATTAGATAACAAAATTATATTTACTTCTTTTCTGCATTTCGGTTTACTTGTATTAAATTTATGTATTTAGAATATTTTCAATGTATATTGGCCTTATTTAACCCACATAAACCCATAAAAATATTGTTCTTTCGCTATCCTGGTCTCACCCGCACTTCATAGTTGTTAATCTTCAAAATTAGTTCTTCAGCATATTTTATCTAGCAGATAAAAACATCGTCCAAATCAACTGTAGTAAACCGATCGTTTTCATCGACAATCAATTCAAACCGATCGAATTCAAATTTCAAATTAAATTAATTTTATTTTCACATTTTCAAAGTAAAAAACAAACAGCGAACCTTCTGATGCAAAAATTTCACTTTTGATTTATTATGGTTGGATCACTTTTTCATTAGTTCGAATATTCATTTGCAATTAAAAAAAACTACAAATGACAACAATTTTAGTAATGATTAATGGTCTTAAATTCTATATGCAATTTTTGGCAAACAGGAGGCAACAATCAGGGAATACCGAGGCCATAAATATTAAATTGCAATATAATATTTAAAAATGATAAATAGATTAAAGTTGGGAATAGAAGAGTGGAAAGTTGTGAAATAACATATTAAAAAAAATCAAGCAAGAAACTCAACACCCCAAAAATTACCATAATAGCATTGAAACAAATAGCCTTTCAGATGCCAATCAAAACAGTTGAAAACGAGAAAAAAATTAAAATTCCAAGCAGAATTTGTCAATCACATTTATCCACTAATTAAAAAGAATTATAAAAGGATTTTTGGCCAACGGATGTTGATGTGAGGGTCGCATTTAACTTCCACCCTGGTGCCGCACTGGGTTTATAGGAATCGTTCGTAATTCAAGTTTAGTACGCAATAAAGATTTTGCGTTCATCCCTAATTAAATACGGGCTGAGGATATTTTAATTAAAACTTGAAAATTATTTACAATAGATATTTTGTGCGGCTCGGTAAGCAATTAAGGGCCGCTTTGGCTTGTTTAATTTTAATCTCGAGCCTGGGTGGTTTGTTTTTATTAGTCCGTGAAACCGAAATTGTCAAAGAAAAAGCTGTAATCCGACGACTAACGTGCTTTGTTCACTGTTTTTCTTTTGGTTGAGACCTTTCCGGGTGCTGTTTATTGAAATATGTTACTTAGTTTGCCTTCTCATTAATCACAGAGCCCAAATTAATTTGGCCCGAACTGATTCATGATCACAGTTACACAGGGTGTTTTAGAACATATGCTCTAAGTTTTTAATTATAATCAAGGTGGTTAATAGAAGAATTATGAACGAATGTGTTATAGGGGGCACGTTGATCCTCTTCAAAAATAAAAAAAATAAAAATTATTCATGTTACTACAAGGGACGGACAAACGGGTTTTATGCAGATCTCGACTAAAGACGCTAATCGGGGATCGGGAAAAGTTGTGATCGGTCTATAAAATTTTATTCAATCGCCAGAAGAAGTGTAAAGAAAGCAACATTCTATTATTGTTAACTTTTGCCACGATTTGCTTCTACCAATTTTTAATTTTTAAAGGTGTTTTTAAAGTTTTTATGATAAAGCGAGAAAATGCTACCACAGTATCGCATTTTTATTATCCAATAAAAAAGTTAAAAAAGGTTAAAAGCGAAAAATTTACGAAAATGTATAGGCAACTTTAAAATTTGCGCTTTAAGCGCCTTCTGAAATAAATATGTACACATTTTCATTGCAATATGCATTATTTTGGAATGGGTCAATTTTAGGGAGCGCTTATTCCAGTTGAAAATTCAAACTCATTTAAAAAATTGCAAATGCATTTTAGTACATTTAGCTCTAAAAAAAACCCAAGTAGACGTTGGTGTTAGTCGCAAAAATATTTTTAATCCACTCTTAACCTGGCCACATTGTAGAAAAAGATAAACATGTTTAATATTATGTTCAAATTTTAATGTTTCTAAGATATTTTAAGTTGTTGGTTCAATATTTTCTAAAACCTTTGAAACAGGACAAGAGTCGTTTTAAATGGTATTGAAAAGTTCTGTGCGAAAAACTGCTCAAATAGATTCAAACCCAAGCCTAATTTAAATATTTTTTTTGTTAATAGTATTATTTATTGATCAATAAATCTCATTATTTTTATTACTTTTGAATTCATTGTAGTTTGTCTAGACATTTTTTAAGTCATTAAAATATATCAAAACCGAAAACAGAAATTTCTCGTCTTGAAAACAGCAAACGTGTTTTGTCGTAAACTAGAACATTGCTAAATGTAATAAAATAACGTCTTTACTGTTCCTTAAGACCCCTTTAAGTGGAACAATAAAATAAAACGCTTCCTATTAATTACATTGTATTTCACGCAAATTGCATGGTGCATCGAAGTGTTCAGGCGAGGCTTAAATTGATCGTTTCGAATTCGAACTAAAATTTCATAGAACGTAAAGCAGATTCGGAAACAACATAAATCTTTAGTCGCTCTTTTATTATATGGAAACGTATAAGAAAATGCCGTTCAAATTTAATGTCGAGAGTTAATGGGATGTTGGATGTGCCCTGGCTTAAATTGAAACGACAATTCCAGCAAAAATGTTCAAATATTTATGCACAATTTATGGCTGAAAATTTTATGATTTTCCTTAATAATTCCAATTAAAAGCGCTTAACTTATCAAACTCCCTAATAAAAACTATTTTCATTCTTGCAAGTTACTGGTTGAAAATTAGCTAAAGTTTAGRCRAAAATGCGAATTTAACCACCTCYATTATTTGAGTATTATTTAACCTTTAGTTGCTARGAAGTGTTAAGACGTTTGCCCGTATGTAATAGGCTCACTTTATATAACAACTTTAAATATATAATTTAGAATAATATTTCGAATTCACTGTCACGAACAAAAGGGCTACAAATAAACTAAACGTTATCGAATYCAACTAGTTCGATTGCCGAAATTAACTTTCTTGGTGAATTCAAATTGGGCCTAAAATATATACCATAAAGTACTTGTTGTGATTGTCTATTTAAATTTAAACATTAACTTAGCGTATGTATAAATGTATAAGTGTAACCCAGATACAAACTTACGCTAAAATTGTACGATTAGCATAGCTTGACAATAATTTTTACGCTCCCTTTTTATATAGTTTATATTAGAGAATCTACAGAAAAATAAAGATGTTCAAAAGCAAATTAGTTATTTTTTTTTCACTTATAGAAGTATTTCCAGATCTCTATAGGAAACACTTATGGTACCAATGGGTAACTCAATGGATTTTTAGGAGTTGGCGCAATAACTCACCGGTGCAGTTGCGTCTTTACCTATCAGTTGCGCTGCAGTCACCCATTTGGTAAAACGTTACTCATAAAACATAAAAAACGTGGTGACCTTTTTTTATGTTAAAATAAAATTTCGACAGTGATAAAATTTGGTTCCTTAAGAAAGTGATGACCTTTTTCGGTAGGATGTTAAAATTCCAGGCCACGGGTCTCAAAAAGCTTATTAAATTAAAGCTAAATTAAAAGTGCAACACAGTGAGACGCAATTAACACCGAGGATGACCCCCAATAAAAGTTCCGAAACGTCGACAAAAGTGAAACTTCCTGTGTTTGATTTGTCCCGTAGAATACCAACCAAAAAAATTAACTATGTTATTATATTTCTTATGAAAAATATATCAAAAGTACATTTACAAATATACTCAGCATACAAAGAAACCAATAGAAGCTATAAATTCCTGTGAATTCCCTTTTTACAGTTTTTTTTTATTTTACATTTCAAAAAATTACGATTTCTGAGCCATCAAATCATCATAAACATACACTAGGCGTGAATTGATGGTTGCCTGCACTAATATATCAGTTAATACCTGTTTAGCTTGAAGTGATCGCATTCCTCGAACATTTCAGCGCATTAATAAACTTCTGATCGAATATTTGATTATATTATATTTTACACAATCCACAACAACATGAAACTTGCGAATAATTGATAATCAAAATAAATAATACTCCCAAAAACCACGTGACAACTCGTGACTGACGCGGACCAATCGTCTTGCGCCAAATACTGAATGTTGATAAACGTCGTTCAATGTGTCAGAAAATGGTCACGAAAGGAATATAAAGCTCATTCCATCTATTTAGTTGTTACAAAATTACGCAAAAGTACCAGTAATTTGTGTTGTAAATAGTGACATTGTAATTATTGCTCTATTCGCTAGACATCCTGCATAAAAATGGACTCTTTACCCGTCACACTCATAGTGAAGGCTCCAAATCAACAAATCGAGGATCAAAAAATTAGGTGTGAAACGTCATGGACTATTAATAAATTGAAGCAACATTTATCGGAGGTTTATCCCAGCAAACCCGTAAGTTATTTAATCTAAATGGTTGACTTGTCTTTCCACCCAAATTTTAACCATAACCGCCCACATCTAAGTCTTTTAGGGCCTCTATCAAATTCCTCTGGATTTGGCTAATACATGATCATTTACTTATACTTATGCAGGTCCTAAACGGGATACTTTCTATTCCGCAAAATTAGGCGTAGAAACAAATAATCAGCCCTAATCTCACAAAAATCATTAAGCCTATTGCTTATCTTCTCATTAATCTTCATTCCTTCCACATTTATTAAATAGTCCTAAAACAGTTCTATATCATGTTTCAATTAAACATGTTTTTTGGGTCATTTCATAGTACAGAGTACAAGCAAAATTATTATATTGCACGTTCCTAGTAGTTGGTAAATAATAATAGCTCTATTTCTATTGATTTTAATTGGTGATCATGATGGTTAAAACAATACTTAGCGAGTGAACTGCTGAAACCTTTACAAGTATGTTTGTTTCTGTCGTCTTAGAAGCTTTTTCGATTACGTTATATAAGAAATTTACAGCTGCGTTAATGACTAAAAAATTGAATTGCAATAAAATTTTATCGTTTGTCGGTCATGGTGGGTTTATACAGAATAGCTACTTGAACAGAGAAATGCGAATTTGATGTTTTAATTATTGTTATTGTTAAATTGAAATTATTTAGAGCTTTTTCATTATAAATGGTTTCATAAATATTTTCATTTGTGTTAGCGCATTAGGTTGTTAAAAAGAGATAGACTTTGGCCACCATTGCTGGAAACTGGTGAGTTTTTTGAGCATTTGGGACATATAGGAAAATAACTTCTTCAGGACGTTTTGCATGCACGAGTTCCGCACCACCTCTGAAGGTGCAAGCCACTCGTGCCTGCGAAACGTCAGGACGAAATTCTTCACGACGTCCAAAAGCCCGAATAACTCATCAGTTTTACTAATGGTTGGTTAATTACTGACACTTTTTAAAATATTTTTGTGCAATGTTAACGTTCTTTCCTAAACTTGAGGGCTTGCACCTTTTTTTTTATTAAACTTATGGTTAAAATAACAAATAGCGAACAAATTTCTCCACTTTTCTTACTTTTCTTTAGGTTCCGTTTGGGTGTTATTCTATATATCTAGCATTTTTTTAAAATTGCACGCTTCTAGAAAATCTCCTATTTGACCGCATAACATACCTACGTAGTTAAAAGCCTGTGAAGTAAAAAAATTAATTTCACTTTTCAATTAATCGGATGACTTTGCAGTATATTGATTCCGTATTGAAGACAATATAAGTACATCAGTTTTAAAACATCACTCTTTAGGAATAGGTGAAAATTCGCTTCGGCCTGTTTGATTTTGAATATTTTTTGTAGGTAAATATTACTTATGTCTATGTATCACTTTTGTAGGTAAACAATGTTTAGTGTCTTCTACCTTCTTATGTTGTTTCTTATTTTACGTTTTAGATTTCATCGCTTACACGGTTTTTTCTAATATAAAAAAGCGCATTATTTCAATCTACCTATTTGCAACCATAGATTGCGCGATTAAAATACCTGTATTTTTAAATATTACGGGAGTCTTATGTGCAGCAGTGGACGACTATATAGCTGTTTGATAATTATTTGATATCGGTATGCAGGTTGTTCACTGTAATTTTGGCTATTTATTGCCTTTAACCTTCGGTTGTTCGAAAATCAGTAAATTTGGTTTTTGTCAGAAAATCCCATCACGACTCATTTTTCGGCCCCCATAATTTGCTGTGTTTTTCAGTTATAAAATAGTTCTAAAAAGTGTTTTGTCTTTAGAAATTTTATGTTAAACGCGAAGCGGCGAAAATGGTAAAATCTGATGGTTTATGTGAAAGTATATGATTCGTCATCAATGACGGCGACTCAGGCGTTTGAACTGAAGAAAGGGCGCTGTGGTTTCAGAGTATTTTATTATTTTATAGGTATTGGGTTTTTGTCAATGTTTTGGTGCAAATATAAAGTTGCATTCGATCATATTTTAGTTGCTTCCTCAGAAACACTACATACCTTTAACGAAAAAAAAGCGCAGTGATAGATATATGCGTCCAACAGAAAATTATGGTAAAAACATCTTCGTCAGACAATGAAAGCCCGAATGAACAATTCAACCTCAGCATTATCTGCCGTTTAACTCTGCAAAAAAGTCAAACAGCTATTCTACAACTTAGGAATGTTACTTTGAAAAAAACTACCTATTTTCTATGTCAATTTTGGTTGCATTTCTTTTCAGCCACTCTGTACTGCAAAGCAATATTATTGATATTTACCAGGAAAGCATTGTTGCGCAATAACATATCCATTAAAAAATGCACACCATAATGCCTTATCACCAAGAAAGTATTTAAGATAAGCCTCTTATCTCCAGCCTTTAATTTACAGCCACAACATGAACAAAAGCTAATATATTCCGGCCAGTTACTGAACGATTCGGTGATTTTGAAAGATATTCTTCGACAATACGAGGGCCAGGACACCCATACAGTCCACTTAGTGTGCGCACCGCCTCTAGTAAACCCGAAAATGATCAATCGAGCAAGGCAGGTGGAGAGAAGAAATTCTGGAGATGTTGCTGCTAATCCAGGCAACGCGGCTGCTAACAGCCAACCAGCAACAGCCAGGCCATCAGCTCCAGAAGTGACCACTCAGCCAACCACAAACAATCCTCGAGTTCCCGCAGCTTTTCCGCATGAACGATATCCAGAAAACGGATTTCCTTGGACTCAATACGCCGAGCAAACGCCTCAAATGAATCTCAACACTTTGAATCAGTATCAGTTGCAAATGGCTTTGATGCAACAAGCTTATATGCAGTATATGACTCAGTATATGCAACTGTAAGTACCTGTAAACTGTTATATACGTTTTGTAATTGATCAGAACCGGCGTTTTTATGCCAAGAAATTCTGGAACGTTTACTTCAATATTTCGAAGTTTATTATTTAAAAATTTCGTTTTTATTGCTTTACATGAAAATGATCTTTACAGCAAAATGAAAATTGTAGGATTAGCTCCTAATTTTGCTAAATGCTAAAACTCGTTGAACAAATGCCTTGATTATTTATACGATCGACTCACTGAAGCTTTGTAGTTTAAAGATATTTAGAAGTTTTGATTAACTACCTTGAGTCAACTTATACATTTACAATTTGTATTTGTCGGCAGTGAAAGTGGTTGTTCTTTGCATAGAAACACTGGGAATTTATTGTCGATGTCCCTTATAATGAGCAAACATTCGTCAAAATTGACTGTTTTGAATAAATAAAATACACACTTTAACATACAAAATACGTTCCTTAACTTATACTTATGTGTACATTTTATTTTTGTTATCCGTGTACGGTTTTTTATTTGCCGGCAGCTAATGCCATTGGTTTTTTTGCGTAGAAACACTTAAGATTTATTGACAATCTCCCTGATAGCAAACATGTTGACAACATTTACGATTCTAAATAATTACACGATTTAACATCAAAATACGCTTTTGGAAAAAGTTGTGCTAGTGTGTTTTTACAGTTAGATTTAGGTTCGAAAACTGAAATTAATAATCAAAACAAACAACCCATTTAATTATTGAGTACTTTAAGAAAGCAGATATTAGTGAAATGAGGTTTTCCTAAAAATGTGTTGAACTCCCATTGGCTGTAGATAAACCCTTATCAGTTGGTTCATTTCCATAAATAATGGTAGTATAATTATACATATACAGCCTTATGCTAACGGGAAATGAAATAATGATTTAAGTCAAAAACATTGTCATATCATCGCATCGTGGATTTAATAGGAATAAACTTTGCAATGGAAATTGGTATGGTTGAGCGGTGGAAAATAAAAAAAGCCAAAAGTTCTAACATGTTCGATCGTTTGCTTCAGTTTTACTTAATATATAATGCATTTTATCCTCTCTCTTTAACCACGTTACTTTACTGCCTTAAAACATCTGGAACGAATTGTGTTTATAAATAAAACCTAAACAGCTACAATGTTTGGACAATCATACGAACAGTAACAATCATCATCATACAGATATGTTATCACAATCGTACTTAGTTTTATCGCTAAATAATTCAACTACTTACTGGCTAACTCAAGTGCTGATTGTCTGCGAAATCGCCATGGAATAATGTATTTTTCGAAAAGTGTTGCGTCATTTAATGATCAGGCATGTGAAAAAACCCTGATTAAAAATTATGTCTTACATACTCAGCTAAAACAAAACAAAGTTTATTGGTAACTGATATGGTTTAAAACAAGTAAATTATTTTGCATTTGGGCACTGACGAATCTAAACCAGTTCACTACCGGTTGCCATTATAGGAAAATCCCCACACAGGAAAATATAAAAAAACAAGACTCATATATTGTTCCTGAAAGTTGTTTTTTTTTTCAATTATTTTCAATTTGTTTTTAATGACGGCGACGAGCCAAAGTTGTGTTTCCTTAAAGCGCAACAGTGTATGTATATTAACACGACCTTGTTTGGTAGATTTAACTTTGACCTGCTAGTGCATTGCAATTATTTTTGCATTTTGTAATTTTTGCGTTTATTTCACTTGTGCCAGTCAAAACGCTTATTTCCGTTGCTTTTTCAAAAAACTGTGATTGGCACACAGGTAATTAATAAATCATTATTGATTCCATTTAAACTACAGTATAATAACAGTGAAAGTACATCCGCGGTTGCATGGATAATCAGATATTGCAGCCCAACCGACAGTCAGCATTTATGTAACTGTGAAAAATACAATTTTACTTATTGCACAGAAATCTTTTTTGAATGGGCTCTAACAAAAAAAATATCTTTCTATGCGCTTTGATTGTGTTAAGTTTAGCTTATAACTGAGAAGGAAACCAATATTCCAAATAAAATTCCGTAGCATTCTGATTTTAAAGATTTTTTTGTATGCCAAGTTGAATGATTTTCTTGCAATATCTTGAACAATGTATAAATAGTCACAGTTTGTAAAAGCAATAAAAATGAAACATGAATTAAATTTGGAATTTTAATCAAAACGATTGAGTTTAAAAAATACATATTTGTTTTAAATATAATTTAGCCATGAATTTGATTGAATTGAATCTTAATGTTTTTCTGAAAGGAAGACGCATAATCGCGAGAGTGAATGGGTTGATTATTGTTTCCTGTTCATGTGATAAGTGTGATAGACAAAATTGATAATTACACATTGCCATTAAAACAGTTTCCGCATTGCCGTCAAAATGTAGGCTTTGCATCTGGATGTATCTAAAATATTTGTTGCTTTAATTGATTGAAACAGAATGTATAAAAAAAAACCACAGATCATAGGAAAGCTTCATGAGACAATTATGGCAAAAATTCAATAACAAAACAATTGGTAAGCAAAAGATGAGAATAAACTGTAAAAACAAATAAAATTCTTAAGACAGACAACACAACTCTCTTGCACTATTCTCGTGGCGTTAATTGCTTTTTATTCCTAAAATCAAACACCGAAATATCACATTACAAACGAACGGGGAAATATCTGGCCAAACTTGGAATCCATTATACATTACCACAGAAAATAATAACAATTAAATTTTTTCAGAGCTTCAGGTCAAATACCAGTATCGTCACCGCATCCTAACCCTGTTCCGCAACCCAACGTTCCAGTGAATGCGCCCAATGGGCAACAAAATCAACCAGAACTGGCCGCTCAACAAAACGCTCCGGCACAACCACAAGCGGAAAATGAAGAACGCGATTGGCTAGATGTTTTCTACATGCTTAGTAGGGCGATGGTTTTCTTCAGTGTTGTTTATTTCTATTCTAGCCCCCTTAGATGTATTTTTGTGGTGTTTTTGGGGGTGGCTTTGTATCTGTATCAAGCTGGTTTCTTCAATCATATAAATATCAACAACAACAATAACATAAATGGTACGCCGGAGGGTGAGCCGCAAGAAGAACAGGTTCCCACAAGGTTTATGGTCGCGTGGACCTTTATATCTACATTTTTCGCCTCGCTTATACCAGAAATTCGGCCGAATATGAACGCGTGAAATCTGGTCGCTTTCGAGAAAAATGCTTTTTGATTACTAGGCACTTTTTGTATCAAGAAAATATGTAACATGGCCTTTAAATAGTTGTACCAAATAACTTTGCATTTATATTAGGTGGTAATTTGTTGATCGATACAAGAACAATTGAACAAGTAATTTCAGGGATTCCAAATCCGCAATACTACTTGCTCAATTTGCCTGTATACCTACATTTTCATACACACAACACAACAGTTTTCTTCGTATGACTAATGTTTAGTATTTTCAATGATTAATGTAATAGTACCTGATCTATAAATAGATGCTGAAATTATCAAACTTTGCCTAGTAGGCACCAAGAAATATGTTTAATTTATTTGAAATTATATTCATAGATATATATATAACTTCCTTGGGATGCAAACTCGCCCGTTTCGAGATTTCAATATTTGATGAGTCGAGTATTTTTTAGGCATAATAAATCAATAATCAACGATCCCACCTTCAAATCAAAAAATACTGTTTTTCACCTTCTGTTTCTAAACATTTTTTCCATTGTAATTGTATTCACGCTGACACAAAAAATATATTTAAAATGAAATTATTAATACATTTAGAGATCTGTAATAAAGTCTACAAAATAGTAGATAGAGCTTCGCGTAAAAATTATTTATTGTAAAATACTTTTAGTTACCCATCTGTATATAAAAAATGTTTCATATAATTATGTATTTTACTTAGTTTTAATTGAAATGTGATTTAGATAAAGGATAATAAAGTAATCTTTATAAATCCAATGGTTTCAGTTTGAACGTTTAATAAAATCATTGCCCCTCGATGACAATGGGTAAAGGGAAATGATACAACACTTTAAATGAACAAATTCTTAACAACTAGATCATTTCACCGAACGGATAAGCAGAATGTTCACAATTGATTGTCCAGTGGAGAGTTTTCTTTGTCTGGGTCTTCACTAGATCTCACAGCTTTAATAAAAAAATCAGAATTTTCTATGGGCTCTCTTGTGCGTGGAGAAGACTGCTTGGTTTGAGTTCCCAAGGAGAGATTTTTCGAAGCTAAAAGTTCCATCTCAATGTCGTCGTCACTCTGATCACTATCTATAATATTGGCAGAAATGCTTCTAAATTTGCTAGAACTTCCATTGAAATAATTTGAGTGTTTTTCAGCTAAACCATTTTTTCCAAAGTCCGCTTTTGTGTGCTCTCCTTCTTGGTCACTGTCATCACTTTCAATAACATTCTTCTTGCGTCTTCGCTTTGGACTCAATATTGTGGACGATCTCACATCACGAATAGTGTCTTCATCCATTCCAAGACTCAAGTTTATACTTTCGCTTGCATGATTCTCCAAAACTCTTGCAGCTTCTTCAGAGTTTGATTCGCTCGAACCATCAATAGAAACTACACTATTATCTTCATTGTGATGCTTTTCCTTATTGGCTCCTTTAATTAATTTTTGCATGCTTTTCTTTTTCAATAATGACTTGCCCTTTGCATTACTTTCCAGGTCAAACTCTGGCTCTGATTCGTCGGTTTGCAATTTATCTGCAGCACTGCTCGGTCCAGGTAGAACTTGGCTTGAAATCTGCAAGTTCTCTTCAGCCTTTGCTCTAATTTTCCTTAATTTTTCGAGTCGCAGTTTCTCAGCTCGTTCCTTATTCAACCTAATCCGATTCTGTTGTTCTTCGGTAAGTTGCAAAGGTGGTTGATTGATTGAGGGAGCGGCCTGCAGTAGTTCGAACTGCTTATTCTGCTTGTCGATTTCATCGCTCTGGATTGGGACGAAACCGTCTACATTCATTTCTTCATCGGATGAATCGATTATCGGATTTTCTTGTTCTTCGACCAACAAATCAAATCGAATTCTCTTAATGTGTGTCTGAAATTAATAACAAAATTTACCTATAAACGGAATAGAATATTTGTTGGATATTACCTGAACGCTTTTTTTGCTTCCCAACTTTTCGAGTTTGTCAACACACGCCTCAAATGGAAATTTTGGAAATAGGCGATGACACCAATATTCGTATGTTTTGATAATGGCGTGTAGGTCTTGCTCCTCGTGGCCTTTTCCTTTGAAGTTTACTCTTTCAAAGTAGGATGGCAAGGTGGCTATTCCTTTAGGACCTTAAACCGATTAGAAATTTTTATAATCATGCTATAAAGGGATTCGACGGAAAATCAGTTGACAAAATATTCGTGTATGGGGAAAGTCAACAATATTAACACATTTCGCATATTAACTGCAAGACACAAAATTTTCCTAGCTTGTGCAACTGGAAGGAGTGCAAAGGAGGTAATTACCATAATTTATTGAAATGGAATGATAATAAAATACCATAATTAACAATTGCTCTTATAAGCTGCATATTTCGAAGTTATCTTCGAGACAATTTATTTAATACAAAAAATTTGAAAATGTTGTTTTTGATATAAGACGCACTCTGCAATTTAGATTTTGCATAAAAACTAAACCCCTCTATTTCAAAGAAACCTGTTTGGTTTTTTTAAATCTGTTTGTGGCTTTGAGATTTTTACATTGTGATCAATATCTTCGGAAACAACTTTCCTAAACTTTGCTCATAATCTTCAAAATGAACGTACACATAAATCTAGTAGAGATGTTCGTACTTAGTTTTTATTAAAAAAACCACAAAAAGTGCCACAAATCCATTCAGATAAATATACCATTTATAATTAAACCGTTACTTAATCCTTTATTAGTAGATGTTTTTTTTTATTTAAAGATTGCAATAGTTTCGTAAGTTTTTTGGTAGTTTGGCTTCTCACCTGCTACCTTGACCCTTATTGTACAATCTGTTTGTTTAAAGAAAATTAACACCATTTTGATTTTCTCATTGATACTTTTCTTCGAGCTCGTATCAGCTGAGATATTGATGACCGTGTTCTAAATGAAATCTCTGCTGATTTTTCAAATCGAAATAATTGAAGAAATCGCACTTAGAAATGATAATAGCCGAGTAAACCTACCTTTTAGGGTTTCAGCATTGAGTTTAGGCTGTGGATTTTTTATCACTCGTTTAGGTTGCACTACCTGCTTTGCTCCATTTCCATCTTCATTTCCTTCTGTTTCGTCCCTCTGAACTTCCTCAGTGTTCTCATCCTCTCCAGCCCCTTGCGGGGCATCAACTACTTCTATGTCATTCTGCTCATCTTCTATATCCGACAGTATCCTACCCTTATCACTAATAGATTCTTCATCCGAAGACATAATAATTTATTTAAAAAAACTGTAGAAAATGATAACAATAAGTAACAAAAAGAGCTGTGCTCCTTATGGTTGCCGCCAACTTCGAAGACTTTGTTAGGTTAGGGCGTTGGTTTGTTTACGTTTTACTGGCGGTTTGGCTCCTCATTCTGATCCTCATTCTCACTCCATTCAGAGTCGCTTTCAGAAGAACTAGGGGGCTCTACACTATACACAGACAGTCGATTGAGGCTTTGCAATAAGGCAAGTAATAGTTGTCGATTGATCCGATCGGTCTGGGTTAATTCACGTTCTTCTTGAGGCTCTACGGTATCAATCCCGATGTTTCCTACATTACTCAAATTGCTCTCTTGCTCTTTATTAACTCCGGGCATGTTTTATCGTGTCTTAACTACCCACTTGGCAATCACTGACTCACAAAAAGCAAAACTATTTTTGATTCTGACAAGGTGAGGTTAGACGACGTTAAAAAGAACTCGTACACA